AAAAAAAAAGGGAAAAAAAAGAGAGGAGAGAAAGAAAAAGGAGAGAGAGAGAGAGAGAGAGAGAGAGAGAAAACACCACAGAACCAATAGATAAACCAAACAAATACAAACACCAAACACCCAGTAAAGAGGGTGGGGCAGAATCTGTAGAGGCTGAGCTGATATACAGGAGATAAGGTTAAGAGTTGGATAAATATGGGGAGGACCTCAATTCTGTATAGAGGAAGTAGAAAAGGGATGAGGGGATAAGAAGAGAAAGAAGGGGAACAATATATATACAAAAAATTGATTTTAAAAAAGCTATAAAAATAGAAAATAGCAAGTAAAAATAAAATAAAATTGAATGATGAAAAAATGATGTGAAAAGAAGTAGAAAATAAAGCAACAATAAAAAAAGAAAACAGAAAAAACAACAAAAAAAGAGCTAACAAAATAATAATAAAAAATAAAAATGAAAAATTGAAATGTCTTTCCTTTGGCTGGCTTAAGATCCCAGTTTCCTGGAATGTCTGTGATTTTTTTTTTCTGTTCTTGGGACTGGAGGCCCCTCTATAGGCCAGTCCCTGTTAACTCCCAGGGACTAATCAGATTTTTTAAAATCCTTTTTTAATCCACCATTCAGGGTGGAATCTGGGTGTGGCTATATTCCTTGCCTGGAGACTGGAGGGAGGGGTTATACATTAAGGAGAAAATGGCTGCCCAGGTCCTGGGCTCAGGCGTGACTCAGCACTCAACTTGCTGCCACCTCTCCTGGACCCCCCTCTCTCCTCAGCCTCTCCCCAGATTCCACTCATCCGCACCTTCTCCCTCTCTTCAGCACAGGTGAGTGTCTGTATCCAAAATGTCCTATGAACAGGGTTCAGTAAAAACAAACAAATGCCGGCCGCGGAAACAAGGAAGGCTGAGATTCTGTAAGCTCCTCTCTTACAGGCACTGCATGCTCTGGTCAGCTCTTCAGGCTGCCCCCTTTAGGCTCAGTCCTCCGTAATCACAGAACCCAGATCTCAAATCCCCCAGCGCCAACAGTCCCACGGATCTCCTTTCCCCAGTCAGGGGCTATGGTCCCAAGAAGAGACGCAGCTGTCTGCCAGGTGGTCTCCCTCTGACCCTCTGGGCTCAGAGGTGTGGCAAACTTTCCTGCCCAGATCCCTGGTTTTTTACCTTTCCAGGGGAGCTCTGCCCTTCCCGGCTGCAAACCGTCTCACCAGCTGAGTCATTTCACCAATTTGGGGTGGGTGTTATTAGTTTCAGCTGCAGACTCCATTTGCTCCGGGACAAGACCTAGGACTCGTCTGCCTATATCGCCGCCATCTTGTCTTCTCTCTATCTTGGCCTCTTGCTGGGCTACTCCTGACAGAGGCAAAGTCACACCTCAGCCACCAAACTCAAGGTCATCAAAGCCGAGGGCCTCATACAACATGGCGCCTCCTCCCTGACTGGCCTCTTCCTCTACAGACCTCTCAACCTCCCGCCCAACACCTGGGCTCCTTTCTCCTACCTTCCACGGACCCCTCCCCTCCCCCGGCTCCAATAGTCCTGACCTTGACCAGGACCCTAGCATTTGCCCACTGCCTCTGGCTGGTGACACTTCCACAGTCTCTCTGACCAAGTTTGCAAATATCCATCAGGACCGTTCTCCCTTCTCCTGCCCTCTGGCCTGCGCTTCTCCCCTGTGTCCCTCCGGACGCCCCTCTCACGTGTTTCTTCTCTTCATGGAACCAGCAGCTCCCAGCAGCGCTTGGAGACTTCGCACGTCAGGGTCAGGCCGGAGGTCACGGGGGTGTTAGGGAGATGCAGGGATGGTTCAGAATTGGGAGCGGCAGGGGCTTCCGGAAACCATCTGGGCCTAAGAATCTGGCCTTCCCATTGGGGACACTGAAATCAAATCTTTATTTAGTTATTTATTTTATCCTCACCAGCAAACTATACCTTAGTACAAAATGTGAGAACAATCGTTGGCAAATAGTTAGCACAGTACAAGTCTTTCACCATTATTTGGCTTCCACATATCTCAAACTCCTCCACACTCAAATCTCGTAAGGTTTCATGGCCCCTGCAGTCACGTTGTTTTCCATGTTTCCAACCAGAAAGTCGTTTGACCCCTGGGAGCACCCCCATTTCTCCCGTGGACAAGAGGAGCTCGGATTTGGAGCCACGGCGGCAAAAACTCGAAGCTGGTGTCGGTTTGCAAAGGTAACCCAGCGAGTTTTGTCTCAGGGAAAGGGCTGCCCCTGCTGAAATGCTCAGGCACCCCCACATGTGCAACCCGTGTGCCCCAAAGGCGTTGGCCACCACGCCGGCCTGTCTTCCCACTCAGGAAGGCAGTTCTCCTCGGGAAGAACATTCCACGTGGTGAACTAAACATTTTGGAGGGCAGGTCGAGATCTAATTAGGTCCATGCCATTGAGCACTGGGACCCTCAGGTATACATTGTCCCGCGGGGGTGGGGGCAAGGTGGGGGCTCACCTTTGGGAGGCCCATGAAGCAGGATCTCCGTCTTTTTGGCTCATGTGACCCCAAGAAAGCCCTGTAGTGTGTCTGCGTTCATGAACTCAAGCCCAGTTATCCGTTAGCCGCAGGCGTAGCATCCCCAGACTCCAGCTCAACGTGGACAATCGAGATGGTCGCTGAGTGATTCGGTGAACCGCCGTTGTGCCTGGTAGAACCAGGCTGCCATTCGACACTATGTCAGTGGGCCTTGCTGTGGCTGAATGTCCATATTTGAGGCATTTGGTTTAATTAAAAAACATAAGAAGCCAAGCTTGCCTTAGCTGTCAAGCACCTTAAAGACAAGACTTTAGCCCTAGCCGGCTTGGCTCAGTGGATAGAGCGTCAGCCTGTGGACTCAAGGGTCTCAGGATCGGTTCCGGTCAAGGGCATGTACCTTGGTTGCGGGCACATCCCCAGTAGGGGGTGTGCAGGAGGCAGCTGATCGATGTTTCTCTCTCATCGATGTTTCTAACTCTCTGTCCCTCTCCCTTCCTCTCTGTAAAAAA